CATATATGCCATTTGCTTAAAATAAGAAGTCTATATAATGAAAGGGAAGGGAATAGGTTGATTTTAACTGATTATTTAAAGTGTAATAGCCATGCCTATACCTAAGCTTCATTAGGGCAGAGAGTTTTGTCTCTACTATTTCCTTAGGGTGAATGAAGCACACACAAAACTGTTCAGTGAGTATTTGTTGGATCAATGTCCGAGTAATTTACGTTGTTAGGGGCAGGGGTTAGAACCACAGGGCCTTGATTTCTGGCTTAAAACTTCACTGTTTGACGTACGGACCATCTGTTTATTTGGGTGAGGCCATATGTGAGAAACAAGAAAAAGACAAAGAATTATGGGATTCAAGAGGGTACACTAAAGTCTGAAATGCTGTCGAGTCATATCTATAAAACAGGCCTACTTAAAATGATGGCGGGAATTGGTAGAATTCAAATTATAAATTTTACAAGGGAGGGGTAAGATGTTAGAGAGACATAAGGTCTCATCCTGCCAGTGTACAAGGAACGTATTAATTCAGTCTGGCCACCTGGGGCCCATTTAGTGCACTAGAGCAGTAATTTGCTAAATGGGCTCCTCATAGTAAAAAGAATGAGTAAACAGTGAGCAATTTAGGCATGGTAAACCACTAGTAGCTCCAGGGACATAAAAATGTGAAACTATAATTAGATTCCTTGTTCATAATGTACTAACTAAATGTATTACAGTGTACGTTGCATCTTGCTGACTTTATTTCTAGACACAGCTGAACCCCCTAACAATTCAGACCAAAACTTTCTCAGTTATCAATTCATGCTTCCATTAAAATTCCAACTGCTATATTAAACAAAAAAAAAAAAATCCCAAAGATGGTTCCTTTTATCTTAGATCTAAGGGTATAAGCAGATACAGAACACAGCCAGTCAGTTATAAATCACACAGCATGAAATAAACTATGGCAATAAATTGAGAATTATATTCTTTTTCTAAACTTAGCTGTGAAAATATTTTAACAAGATGGCATGAAGGTTTACAACTTTTGCATCTGATGTTTCTTTTTGGGATTATCTTTTAGTCCTTAAAGATGTGATTCTTTGAAAACTGTGGCTACTCAGAAATACAGTATTAGATTGTACATTTGGAACACTTTAAAGGGGGATGGGCATTTATGATTTACATGGTTTTAGGATTCTAGCACATTCCCCACTCTAAGTAGAAGCTGCTGCTATTTCATGTATTTCATACATGTCTGGAAAATATTTGTGTTTTATTGAAACCCAATTCTTATTCAGAGAAATTGTATAGTGTGGGTTGGCACAGATGGTCTGGATGATGTTCCATGATACTAACAAACCCTTATTTCCCTTCATCAATTTCAACTACAAGGTTCTGGTTGATGTAGTAATAATGAGAATATTGGGTTGGTGCTGTGGCGCAGCAGGTAAAAGCCCCAGCCTGCAGCACCATCATCCTGGCTGTTCCACTTCCAATCCAGCTCCCTGCTAATGTGCTTGGGAAAGCAGTAGAGGATGGCCCAAGTTATTGGGCCCCTGCACCCACGTGCTAGACCCGGGAGAAGCTTCTGGCTCCTGGCTTCAGTTCGGCTCAGCTCCAGTTGTTGCTGTGCACGTTTGGGGAGTGAACTAGCAGATAAGACCTCTCTCTGTCTCTGTAACTCTGTCTTTCTTTCTTTCTTTTTTTTTTTTTCTTTTGACAGGCAGAGTGGACAGTGAGAGAGAGAGACAGAGAGAAAGGTCTTCCTTTGCCGTTGGTTCACCCTCCAATGGCCGCCGCGGCCGGCGCGCTGCGGCCGGTGCACCGCGCTGATCCGATGGCAGGAGCCAGGAGCCAGGTGCTTTTCCTGGTCTCCCATGGGGTGCAGGGCCCAAGCACCTGGGCCATCCTCCACTGTACTCCCTGGCCACAGCAGAGGGCTGGCCTGGAAGAGGGACAACCGGGTGTAACTCTGTCTTTCAAATAAATAAAATAATATCTTAAAAAAATTAATGAGAATGTCTATTCTTTAAAGTTTCTCTTTTCTCTCTCTACTCTAAATTTAAAAGGCAGAATAGGACTGGAGTTGTGGTATGGTGTGTAAAGTCACCACCTGTGACGCCAGCATCCCATACCGGCACTGGTTCGTGTCCTGGCTGTTCCACTTCTGATCCAACTCCTGCTAATGGCCTGGGAAAAGCGGCAGAGATGGCCCAAGTGCTTAGGCCCCTGCTACCCATGTGGGAGACCCAGCTGGAGCTCCTGGCTCCAGCCTGGCTCAGCCCTGGCAGTTGTGGCCATCTGGGGGGAGTGAACCAGCAGTTGGAACATGGCTCTCTCTCCTTGTCTCTCCTTTTCTCCCTGTCACTCTTTCAAATAAATAAAAATAAATCTTAAAAAAAAAAAAGAGTAACAGAAAGAGAGATTGATCTTCCATCCACTGGTTCACTCCCTAAATGATGCAACTGCGGGCTGGGCCAGGTTGAAGCCAAGGGTTAGGAACTCTATCCACGTCTCCCATGTGAGTGGCAGGGGCCCACGTGCCCCAGCTTCCCCAGGATCATTAGCAAGAAACTGGATTGGAATATGAGCAGCCAGAACTGGGACAAGCACTCTGATATGGTATGCCTGGGTCACAAGTGACAGTGGTTTAATCCCTCTGCACCACAACGCTAGCCCTGGGGACTCGGGTTTTCTGTCTGTCTTTCTGTCCTCTCACATGCAAGTTGAGTGACTTCACTGAAGGTCTGGGGGTGGAACAAGGGAAGAGAAGCATTACCGACCCCCGCCTTTCTGCTTTCCCCTCACCTCCAATTATTATTCTCAATACAATGGAATTTGTCATCTTTCAAGTTATGACTCTATGAATGGAATCATACAAAAGTGTACTGTTCATTTCCCTCCCTGTTTTTTGTTTGTTTTGAGGTGGGAATGCTGTTACTTTAACTTTTTTTTTTTTTTTGCTTTCCTGAAACCAAGTATCTATCTGCCAATACTTTGGATACACAAAGTCTATGAGCAATGCTGTTCCTTAAAATTTTTCCCCTTGCAATAGATTTTTTTGTTATAAATACTTTGAAAGTATAAACAGAAATCCTGCAAGATAAAAAGGGAGAGCAATGGAGACTGTAAAGCTTAGTGCTGGGAATTAGAGGTAGATTAAATACAATACTGTACTGTCTCAGGATGCCACTGAACATCCAAGGTCCAGTGGTGACAGGACTTATGGTTGGAAGAGACTGTCTTAAAGCTTGTTACATTAGCTAAATAAATGTAACTCTAGAAAGCAAATTAATATACATTTGTTAATAGAGCAAAATTTAAAGAACTAATGAACATAAAGAGGTAAAAATTCTATGTTTTAGTTTTGAAATTTAACATTTTTTTTTATTTGAAAGGCAGAGTTACAGAGAAAGAGAGGGCACTACAGACAGAGCCCTTCCATCTGCTGGTTTACTCTCCAAATGACTGCAATGGCCAGGACTGGGCCAGGCCCAAGCCAGGAGCCAGGGTCTCTCATGTGGGTGTAGGGGCCCAAGGATTAGGACCATTTGCTTTCCCAGATGCATTAGCAGGGAGCTAGATCAGAAGTGGAGCAGCTGAGACATAAATCGGTGCCCAAACGGGATGCTGGTGTCACAGGTGGAGGTTTAACCTGCTATGCCACAATGCTGGCCCCCTGGGCTTTGTTTTTAAATCATATTAAAGGATGTGCAAACTAAAATACCTATCTTTCCATTTCTAGAACTAATGGGTTATGTTAGGTGCTACTCAAGGAAACATATAGGTTAGTATAGCTAAAATTTATCTTCAATATACAATATGCACAATCTGCCTTTTTTTTTTTTTTTTTTTTGACAGGCAGAGTGGACAGTGAGAGAGAGAGACAGAGAGAAAGGTCTTCCTTTTTGCCATTGGTTCACCCTCCAATGGCTGCTGCGGCTGGCGCGCTGCGCTGATCCGAAGCCAGGAGCCAGGTGCTTTTCCTGGGGGACATCCACCACTGCACTCCCGGGCCACAGCAGAGAGCTGGCCTGGAAGAGGGGCAACCGGGACAGAATCCAGCGCCCCGACCGGGACTAGAACCCGGTGTGCCGGCGCCGCTAGGTGGAGGATTAGCCTAGTGAGACACCGCGATTCTTCATCAAGTACTTATTTTTTATTCGCTCCAGAAAATTTCATTCTAAGTTAGCTCTCTATTTTCTGACTTCCCCTCGTTTTGAGTCCCTTTCCTTCCTTCCTTCCTTCCTTCCTTCCTTCCTTCCTTCCTTCCTTCCTTCCTTCCTTCCTTCCTTCCTTCCTTCCTTCCTTCCTTCCTTCCTTCCTTCCTTCTTTCTTTCTTTCTTTCTTTCTTTCTTTCTTTCTTTCTTTCTTTCTTTCTACAGGCAGAGTGGACAGTGAGAGAGAGAGAGACAGAGAGAAAGGTCTTCCTTTTGCCCTTGGTTCACCCTCCAATGGCCGCCGCACTCGGCGCGCTGCAGCCGGCGCACTGCGCTGATCTGATGGCAGGAGCCAGGTGCTTCTCCTGGTCTCCCGTGGGGTGCAGGGCCCAAGGACTTGGGCCATCCTCCACTGCACTCCCTGGCCACAGCAGAGAGCTGGCCTGGAAGAGGGGCAACCAGGACAGAATCCTGCGCTCCGACTGGGACTAGAACCCGGTGTGCAGGGGCAGCAAGGCGGAGGATTAGCCTAGTGAGCCGCGGCGCCGGCGGAGTGTGTTTCCACAGTACCTTATATTTTTGTACATGTCTCACTTGTTGAACATTCTAATTTATAAACCCTGTGGAGGCAAGGATAGTGTATGATATATTCAATTGCTTTACCTAGTGACTGGTTCATAATACATGCTCACAATTATTTGTTAAATTAATTGACTTGAATTTGTTAACTCTCGTGTGAGAACTTGCAATATCCCTACATTCAAAAGTGTTTGCTGTTGATTGAATTCAAACGGAGTAAAAACTATTTTCACGAGGCCAGGGAAGACTTCAAAAGGAAAATATATGAAAATTTTCTTTCAGAAATTTCAGGAATCACAGAGAAGTATTTATTTGTTGTCCAGGTAGCTGCTTCCACTCCTCTTGGAGAAACTGCAAGGATAAGCTAAGTGCGATTCTCTCGCCACAACTTCCAGTTCTCTCTCCTTTTCTCTCCTCACCTCCAAGTTTAGCAACTGAAAGTTCAGACAGGCCCTGGATGGTAGTAAAGTTATTTTAAAAGTCTCACGTGTGGAAATCCCGACTTACAAATCTAAGACTGTTAGATCAATTTAAAACGTGTACTAAATTCTTTGAAACAGTAAACTGTCCCGCTACAGACTACAATGCTGTTTCAACTGACGAAATAAATGTAACTTTTCAGACCACAACTACACATAGAAGCTGCAGGGAAATCCTGTTGTGAACGTGACTGAAAAAACCCGGGAAGGCGACGGGAACACGCGAAGCAGCCCCCCGCGTCTCCACGCCACCGCTTCTTCCCTTTCCCACTTCACTCCGCCTGAATAAAGCGACGGCAAACTTCAAACAACTCCGGTTCTTCGCTGTGCTCCTTCCGGCGGGAGAGGATGGGCTCAGGGCTCCCGCAAGCATATTCAATGAGGACACTGCCCGTCTCCCCGGGCCTCGAAAGAGAAAAATCGTGTCGGCGCACCGGGAGTGCCGGTGATCCTGAGGTGCTGTGCTGTGGGTGTGTATTTGTATCTCACGCAATGGGCGGGGGTGAGGATCGAGTGTTTTCTTACCGTTTAGAGTCCCTGGAAATCCTCCTTTTTCAATTAGCAAGGAAAATAAAAGTCATCTGGCAAGGGACAGTGGGCGGGTAAGCTACAAGTAAACCCGCAAGAACACACTTCGGTACAGAGTTCAACAGCAGAGGGCACAATCCCCACTGGTCATGGTCAGATGCTGGCAGCAAGGCGGAGAACCCAAGGATCGCTGGGGCTTGTAGTTCCCCACTTTTCTCTCAAGAATAGCCGTCCCCAGAAGAGAACTACAACTCCCTAGGTGCACCGCGCACCCCTCTCGTCACCACCCCTCTCCGAGGCCGGCTCTGGGACCTCCCGGGAGACTGCCCCCGCCCCGCCCCCGCACGCACGCGTCACGTTTGTTTACTCTTAGGCTCCGCCCCCCGCCGTCCTCCGGCGCTCCCCGCTCCTCCCGGGAATGCCGTCATGCTGGCGATGCATATTCATGAGGTGCGCGCTGAGCTCTCGCCCGGCCCGCCTCCCGCCTTCCCGCTCCCGCCGCGCGATTAATATTCAATGAGCCCAGCTCGGCGGCTGGTTCGCCGGGGCGAGGTGGGGGGAGCAGGCGGGGCCTGGCGCGGGGGAGCTCGCGACCCCCGCGGGGAGGGCGTGTGTGCGGGGGGGGGGGGGGGCGGCGGCGGCGGCGGCGAGGCGGGCGGGCGCGCGGGATGGAACACCGAGACACCGGCGGAATACTCCGAATTGCCACATAATCCCCTGGAACGGCCGCGCCGAACGCCATTGGCTTCTCCCTTCTCCGCGCGCCGCCGCCGCCGCCGCCGCCGTCTCCCACCTTCGCCTCCCTCTCCGCCCGCTGCCTCCGGAGCTGGGGGGAAAACGCGAAGCCCCGCGGCAATGGAGCCCGCCGCCGCGGCCCCGGCGCAGCGACTCCCCGACCCCGGCCGGGAGGACCGCGCTCCGGCTCCCGCAGCAGCGGCGGCGGCGGCGGCGGCGGCCGGGGGCGGCCGGAGCCTGGAGTCCGCGCCGACCGCGGCGGCCCCGAGCGGCGGGAAGGGCAGCGGCTGCGGGGCGCGGGAAGAGGCCCCCGGCGAGGCGCCGCTGGGGCCGCTGCCGGGCCGGGCGGGGGGCGCCGGGCGCAGGAGGCGGCGCGGGGCGCCTCAGCCCGCGGCCGGCGGGGCAGCCGCGGTGCCGGGGGCCGGCCACGGCGCTAACTCGCTGCTGCTGAGGAGAGGGCGGCTCAAGAGGAATCTGTCCGCCGCTGCCGCCTCGTCGTCGTCGTCGTCGTCCTCGTCGTCGTCTTCGGCGGCTGCCGTCTCGCACCCCGCGGGCGCCGCCGGCCTCCCCGCCTCCTGCTCGGCCTCGGCGTCGCTGTGCACCCGGAGCTTGGACAGGAAGACGCTGCTGCTGAAGCACCGGCAGGTGATGCCGCTGCAGCCGTCGGACCGGGACTGGGTGAGGCAGCAGCTCCGGCGGGGCTGCCTGCACGTCTTCGACCGCCACACGGCCTCCGCCTACCTGCGCCCGGTGCTCTGCACGCTGGACACCACGGCCGGGGAGGTGGCCGCCCGCCTGCTGCAGCTCGGCCACAAAGGCGGCGGCGTGCTGAAGGTTCTGGGCCAGGGGCCCGGACCCGCTGGCGCCGAGGCTTCCCCCGACGCCGGGCCCCGGCTCGCGGCCCCCGAGCTGCCGGCGGGGAACGCGCCGGGTGCCGTCGGGGGCCCCTCGCGCGCGCCGCCCACCGACCTGCCACTGCCCGCCGGCGGCCCGGGCCGGGGGGCGCGGTGCGCCGCCCGCGCTAGCCCGGTCCCCTCGGACTGCAGCCCCGGCGAGCCGTTCGCTAGGGGCCTCGGCTCTCCTCCGCCAGGCGTCCCGCGGCCCCTGGACGGCGCGGCCGCGGCGCCGGCCTCCGACACCGAGAGCTTCAGCCTGAGCCCCAGCGCCGAGAGCGTGTCCGACCGGCTGGACCCCTACAGCAGCGGCGGCGGCTCGTCCTCGTCTGAGGAGCTCGAGACCGACTCAGCCCCGACCCCGACGGGGGCCCCGGGTCAGCCCTGCGGTCCCGCACAGCCCGGGCCGCCTTCCCCGACCGCCTCCCGCTCTCTGCCGAAGCAAGCCCCCAGGGGCGCGGACATCGCAGGCGGCGCTGCCCCCGAGGGGCCTCGGCCGGAGGAGGCGGCGGCGGCGGCCGAGGCCCCAGGAGGCGCCCCGTCGAAGGTGCCCCCGCCGCCCACCCTCTACGTGCAGCTCCACGGAGAGACCACCCGGCGCTTGGAGGCGGACGAGAAGCCGCTGCAGATCCAGAATGACTACCTCTTCCAGCTGGGATTCGGGGAGCTGTGGCGGGTGCAGGAGGAGGGCATGGACTCGGAGATCGGCTGTCTCATCCGCTTCTATGTAGGTAAGGAAAGCACCTGCACGTGCACTCTTGCAGGGACCCAGGAAGGAGTCTGTTGCCCGGCCCAAGAGTCGCTGCGGGTCCCGGGGAGTCCTGGTGTGAGCCTTGGTTCCGGCTTGCACGGTCGGGCCGTGTGGTGCTGGGAGGAGGAATCCTCACATCCGCCCGTTTGTGGTCTGTCGTGAGGGCTCAGGGACCAGAAAGCGGTGTGGCGGAGCTGGCCCAGATCGCGGGGAAGTCCAGGAAGCGTGCACTCCCGACGGAGGAGGTGGCACCTGGAGCCGTCGGGTTGCTGCCTTCAGGCCTCTCCCGGGGCCTTGCTGGGTGTCAGGGAAGCCCTCGCGTGCACAGGACAGTGCCCACCCCAGGGGAACCCCGGCCCTGCGTCTTGGCCGCAGTGGACCGAGCCAGCCACAAGTACAGTATGCGCTGCCCTGACTCCTTCCCTGCCAGCTGGGGCCCCGGCGTGTTCAGCTCTCTGCCTGCGTGTTTACCCAGGGAGTTCTCCTTGGAAACTTCACGAATACGATCCTTTTTTAAAGTGATACTTTTCCGAAGCGCTTTTTTTTTTTTTTTGGAGGGAGGGAGGCTTATTTTCGATTTTTGAATCTGGCATCCAAGTGATTTTGCCTGTTTCTTTTTTTCCTCTGGCCTTTGTGGTGGGCACAGACCCTCGCGGTAGGACTTGCAGTAGGGGTTCCGTATTGCAATATCTGTCTCTTTGGATGTGACCTAAAATGCTGCTCAGTCTTTGCAGGACCAGCACAAGTTGTTGATGCGGCATTTCTCCTTTGGCTAAAGGCTTGGCTAGAAGTGAATTAGGGAGCCATAGGTCCTTGTTATTGTACTTCAGCTTTATAAGTTGTTTGTGCCCTTTGCCTCTTGTGATTTAAAGATAAGATTGTATGATTAGGAATTTTATTTAAGTTACCATTAGCGGAATTAAATCCTAACCAACTTTAGGTATGAGTTTGTAGGTGGTGGTGGGAAAATAAACTTATGACGACTCTGTATATCCATAGCCATTCTTTCAAACTTAACATGTGCTTTGGTCCTAGTGGCGGTTTACTTTTTGAATGAAGAAATCTGTTCTCCACATTGAAATAGGCAAGGTTGTAGTATACCTGGTTCCTGTAAGTTTCATTGAAAATTCTCTGAAGTTCTTAGCAGGTTTCTGGTGATTTTTGCCTTATTAAGAAAATCAAGTCATACCATCTGAAGCCAGTATCTCAGCTGGGTGACATGCCTTTTACAGTTTATGGACCAGAATATAGGTGATTTTTTTTCCTTTTAATATATAGGAGCAACAGCTATATCCCTTCCTCCTACAGCTCATGGAATTTGTAAAATGTTTTATACAAACACCAAATGATAATTATACTTCGAAGGAGACTATATACTTGGTGTTAACATGAGAACAATGAATGCCCTTATAACTAAACTTAGCTGTGTGGAGGGAAATAGATATGAAACAAGTAGTTAAATAAACAGTATTTGAACATATTTTGTACCCAAAGAGCTCTGTAGCCCTTCCTTTGCTCCTGATTGTCTATTCTGATCATGGTAGATGTCCGGGAGAAAGGTTTTGGTGTTATAGTTGTGAAATAAAAATCTTCAGTTGTCTCTTCAAGAGGGGCTAACATATTCTAAGTGGATGATAAGCTGCTTTTTTTGTTTTGTTTATTAAACTCAATATAAGAAATGACAGTCCTATTTCTGTTTAAGTCCTTAGTTTCTGACATGGTCATTTTAATCGTTTTTTTCCCTTATCAAAAGCAGTCATTGTTACCTCCTTCTGAACTTGCTGCTTTCTTATATATGCATAGCATAAATACCTATCTGTCTCTGTGTTTATGTGTATAAAAATAACCAATAAAGTGTGGATGCCACACGCAGTATCCCACGTATTCTTGAATATGGAGTCAGTATACAGGTGCCCTAGAAGGGAGATGGGTGATTGTTGCAAAGATGTTTAATTGCTTATTTTGGCTTCCAAGCAAGGCTGAGTTTCTTTTAGACCTAACACACCAGACATCTCTCTGGGGATGTTCTTTTGCCATGGAACCAAATGTAGCACATGGTGAGTGTTTGCAAGCAGCTTCAGTTACTGATGGCCACCTTGCTCCAAGGTGGTCCACTTTGGAACTGTCAGGATTCATGTGTAGTGAAGCTTTGTGTCAGGCTGGAAGAGATTCCTAGACTACCTCTGCACTTCATTGGAATATAAGCCCTCCAACAAGAGAGTGTTATGTTTTGGAAGTAATTCTTTTCCTTAGGGAGAGGATAACTAATGTTTTGGATCACATCTTTAAAGAGAATATTGGAAAATTGTCATTTTTTATGATTTTATATATAGCATTAAATTTTTTTTGCAGCATTGCTTTTTGTTTGTGTTGTTGGCACTGATAGCTAGAAGGTTGTTTTTGAAACCTTCTGAATATTCTCCTGTACTTAAGCTGTGCTTGTTATCTACTGTCCATCTAGTTTATCTGGTCAGCTACTTGTTTTGAGAAGCTCTTGTCTAGCAGAGGACTTTCATTGTCTTGAGGGTCACCTTCCAATTAAATGTCAGTGTTGATAACCTGAGTCAGGTTGTCCTTAAACGTTTTGAAAGCCATTTGTGGTTGCTTAGAATATTTAAATATTTGGGTGAAGTAAAATGAAACTCGTTAAAGAACTAAAAGGCATTGGGTAAAAGATAACTATCTAATTACAGAGTTCTTGGAAATTTAGTTTGAAACTTATTATTTCACTTATCAAGCAAACATTGTCTTAGCCATTGCAACATATGAGAAAATTTAAATAGTCTTATCTGAAGTTACTTAAATATGCTAAGTGTGTCAGCTTTTAATTCCCTTTTAAAATCATACATCTTACATTTTACCTGAAAGAGTAATTTTAGCTTAAAAAATTTAAGAACTTAGGTAGCCTGGCATAAGTTAAGGACTCATAGACATAAATGAGCTTGTTTTTTGGACTCCCTAGG